GGCCCAAATGCCGGGAGAATTTGAAGGGAATGCGTTGCGGAGGGGGTGGGGCTGCGTTGGGGGGAGAGGCGGGGGACGCGCTCCTCTACGGGAACTGACTTCGGCAGGGTGGAGCGGGGAGAACAGGGAGAGAATTCTGTACCTTCTGTGCACAAGTCAGTCAGACCCCGAGTGCGCTTGAACCTCTATTGGCCCGGCAGCCCGAAGGCGCTGAGCTGTTACAGGCCAATAAGAACTGCGCAGACAGTTGGTCTGCGGGAAGCGGCGCGTTGCGCAGCCGCTGGGTGGTAAGGCGGCGCGCTCAGAGCTGCCGGGCCCCCGGAAATGTGGGATTCGTTTCCTCTCCCTGAGTTGCCTCAGGAGGGAGGGAAAGGGGAGTCTTTCTCTAAACAGTTAAAAAATCCTTCGTCTATCCCCTCTCCAGCACTCCTTCCCCAAGACATAATCCCTACAGCAGCAGTTCACGGCACAGCTCAGCTTCCTCAGAGAAGGTGCTGCTGAGGCCTAGGGTCGGGGTCCTGGGCCTAGCCTGGGGACGGCTCCAGAATCTTTCTCTCCGAGGGATCTGCCGGCTCCGGCAGGGTAGTCCTGTGCGTAGAGGAGACTCGTTTGCGGCCCCTTCTCGTGCCGGGACCTGGGCGGTGGGAGCTGGGCCCGCTGGAGGCAATCGGTACTCTCCCGTCCACAGATCCAGTGCTCAGGGTCGGAATTCAGCCCTGTTCGCGACCCACGCGGCAAGCGTCTTTCCAGATCATCCCCACTTGGCACTCACCAGCCAGTCCTTCCAAATCCAAGCGTGCGAGTGGGACTCGCAGGCCGGGAGAACGCAAGGCGGCTTCCCGGATTGTAGAGCGAAAACCCCAAGCCGCGCGCCCGGCGTTAGACCCAGCGTTTCCTTAAAGCTCGTTAACTGAGCAGTTTCCCGCGCGCTGTAGACCCACAGTGCACATGCAGGCCCGGCCTTCGTGGCATCCCTTGCCTGATTTACTGTCCTCTGCTCACACACCGCAGGCCCTCGCATTTGGCCCGGGCTCTACCTGGAAATCTAAGGCTTGGAAGGCGCTCCCAGGCCTCTTCTGCTCCCGTGGCTTTGCATTTGAGCTCATTTCACCTTCTGACCCTCGGCACCCCTTCCTACGAATTCCGCGTGCACCTAACTCAGATACCCTCCGTCTGCGTTAACAACCTGGCTCGGAGACCAGCTCCGAGATCCTTGCCAGCCCACGGGGGCCGCCCGCGGAGGCGCAGTCGGGGAGGGTCTAGCATACCCTGCCCGCACTTCCGACTCACGCAAACACACTTTCCAAGGGGCCCCAAGGGCGGCCCTCCCCTGGGCCACAACTGCAGGCACCTTTTATTGGAGATAACCCAGCCGCCAGGTCTTCCCACACCTGAGGAGGCAGCCTCGGCCGGAAGGCCCAGCCTAGGTGCCCGGGCCTTCTGGCTAAGCCACCCCGAGGCTGGCGCTTCCCCCCCAGCCGCGATTTACAAGGCAGCAGAAGCCCAAGCGACCGTCACGCCATCTTCTCGCCTGCTAGGCCTGAAAAAAAAAAAAAAAAATCCTTCACGCTGCTGTCACTGCCCCAGGTGGGGGCGAAAGTCTTGAGAAATTGCAACAGGAACAGGAAGTGTACCGAGGCCCCACGAGGCAGAGTTTTCCTAACTCCTTTCCAAGCGCAACTGAGGATGGGTCTGCAGAAAAATACACCCACACCCAACGAGCGAGCCCCCGCCCGCTCGTGCTCCAGGGTTATCAGGCACTCGGCCTGCTCGGCGGTCTGGGGCCAGGGTCCTGACAGCCGCATCTACCATCAATTTACCTTCCGCCGCCCCGGCTTCCCATTTAGCTTTTAACGTCAAATCCTACATTTTTGTCGGCTCCGGCCTGTCTAGAGCGCTTGTGATTTCGCTGCAGGAGTGATTGCTCTTAACAAAATGGCAGCAAGCACATTATCCGAGCAATTAACACAGAGGCCTTTTAGCGGGTCCCGCAAGGCAGGAGCTTGGAAACTTTTTTTTTTTTAAAGGAAGAAAAGAAGAGACGGAGTTAAAAGAGCAAGAAATTTGTAGAAGGGCAAGCCATGCAAGCTCAGGAGAAACGGCAGCCCTGCACGCCTCTCACCGCCCTGGGCTTGACAACGGGAAGGGCGAGGATAGGGGGTGGCCGGGAGCGTTTGGACAGCTGGGGTGTCAGGGCGGCTGGGGTGACGGGTAATCTGGGGTGTTCTGCCAGGTGAAGTGCCGGGCCATTTGGGGTGTGCCGCGGGTTAGGAAGTCTGACCGCCTGGAGTGGTGGGGTGTCCGCCCGCCAGGGTGTGGGGCCTGCTGGGTGTCGAGCTGTTTAGGGTGTCCGGCCGGTTGGAGGGTTGGGGCAGTTGGGGTATCCGAGCTGGATGCTGCTGACGAAGCGGCGCGGCAGGCGAGCGAGAAGTGGGCAGCGCCTGGCCCGGGCCAGACAAAGAGGCCAAATTTTTGGAGCGCGGTTTTAAAAGCCTGTGTACTAGCCCGCCGTCTGGTAGCGACGGTGCGCCGTTGTCGTCCTGGTTCTCCTCTGCTGGTATTTAATAAGCCAGAAAAAGTGTGTTAAACGAGCAGAAGTGTATTAAGGCCCAGGTGGCGAAAAAGACCGGCAACCCAAGGAAGGCGCAGGCACACGTGCACGCACAGAGGGCTTCTCTCTGGTTCCTCTGTAAAAAACATCGCCGCCTCCATCACCATTCACTCCACTACGGCCGGAGACTCCTCTCTTCCACTTCCAGGGCCTAGTGTCTTGCTCCTGAGAGCGGATGAAAAGTGAAGACGCAGAAGGCGGCTGGAGGCCGGAGAGGGAGGGAGCCACTCGGTCAAATGGACAGGGATCCGGAGAGCGACAGAAAATCAGGGCGCGCCTCCTCCCCACCCCCGGTGCTATAAACAAAGGCAAGTGTCAGTAAACAGAGCCCCGCGCCCACCGGGCCGGCCCAGCGCCGGCTGACCCCAGGGGAGAAAGTTCAGATCGCTTTGGCCGAGTTGTTCTAACCCCTCGCCCCAGCGTTGTCAGCCGCCCGCAGAAGCAGCCCGCAGAGCCACTGGCTCGTCTCTCCCGGGACGTGGCGAATCCGCCCGCGCTGGGCAAGGCCGGTCTGCTGCAGGCGACGGGCTCAGACTGGGCGATGGCGAGGCCTGGGAACCCCGGGGATATCTGGAGAAGGGTGTGTGCCCGCAGCCGAAGTGCGAACAGCAGCCCGAAGATGGGATCCCAGGTGGAACCCCTCTGGCCAGCCTCGTCAACAGCAGATTTATATATGTGCGCGGTTCCTGAAACAAACCACTTTTTAATAGGTTTCACCTTTCTTCCCCCATCCCGGAATCCCTTCCCGCTCCCCGCACCCTCGGCCGAGTGCTTTCCGACACTTCACTTTCTCGGGTTCCTAGAGCACAGATTCGGGCTCTAGCCAAGCTTGCAGGCCCAGGAGGCCTCAGGGACTTCCTCCGGGGGACGTCTGGAACCGGGGGAGACCAAAGCCCCCGACGGGTGAAGTCCCGGGCGGCCGGCAGCCGGGGGAGGAAGGGAGGGAAGGAGCGGGCAAGACGGCTTCGGCGCTTGGCTCCTCCGGGCTCCAGCCGAGGAGACTTCAGACACCGCACAGTTAATACTGAGTTCCCTGTAGCTCCTTGTAAATCTAACCCCTCCAATCCCGCCCTCAAAATCCGTGGTCTCGTGCGCGGTGGCTTACTTGCCGTAAAATTCCCTGTTACCTAATCACGGACTTTTCTCGAAAGCCTCCCCCACCACGCCCAAGCCCCTGAGCTTGCTCAGACGAGGATCCCCCGATAGACTACAGGGGAAAACCTTTTCTCTTGAGTTTTCTTGGATGAAAGCCCTATATTTTGAATTAAACACTCCAGACTGGTTTCTGTGGTTGCAATGATGCCTGGGATCTCCTCACACATCCTCCACCGAAAACGCAGTCCTCAAACAAAAACCGAAGTCACCACCGAATGGCAACTGGTTGATTTCAGGAATACAAGAACACCCTTCCACCTCTGAGTGAACCGCCCAGGCCAGCTCTCCGGCCCAGACTCTCCTCCTTGAGAGCACTCAGCGTTCTCCAGGTTGGGGGCGTGGAGGCTGGAGAGAATGTTGACACCACCCGGATAGGGCGCAGGCCCTTCCACTGAGGACACCTCTCCTCAAGGGGAACTCCTCGCCCTGCTTAAACCGGCATCACGTGGATGACTGGTCGGAAGCACTGACCCTCTCAAATAAAAGTAGAGGCAATCATGATAATTTAGTTTACTTCTGAATATTTTAAATATTATGAAAACAAATATAACAGCTTTGTTTTCAAAAACTCTTTTGAGGTATCAACTATCAAAAGATTGGGGGTTTTGTAAAAAAAAAAAAAACACAGTGGTTTATTGAATACTTACAACGTTTACACCTTCAATATTAAGTTCCACTTATTTTTAGAGGACCGAAGTGCACAAAGACAAGTAGCTGTTGGGAACATCTGCGAGTAGGGAACGGCCACATATGAAACGACGCCTCTAGATACCGACCCCAACGAATGTTAGCGGCCCCATCTTCTGCTTTGAAATAAAACTTTATAATCCCTAGGAATATTTATATCCAAAAGGCCCAAGAGAGACTTCACATAGGCACTACAGTCCGCTGTTTTTAGCTGGAAAGGGTTGGGCAGGTGGGGAGGGGCAACGCTGGTGTCTACACAGCCAGGAGGGAACATTCACACAGAGTCTACAAGACGAGGGATCCCTTACCACGCAGGAGTGTCCTCTTCATATTAAAATATGGAATGCTTTTCTTCAAATATCCACTTTTTTTTTTTGGAGGGGGAGGTGGGGAGCGGATGCCTCAAAGGGGGCAAAGAGAGGGGAGGGAAATTGCACATAAATAAACCGGATGAATCCAAATGCGAGAAGTCCTGGGAGCGGAGCGCGGAGGGGTAGCCAGAGTCCCGGGTCTGCACGCGGCGCCTCGGCCCCGGCTAGTCGGCGCTCTCCTCCTCCGCCTCACTGCTTCAGCTCCAGGGCCCAGACGTGCTGCGGCCAGCCCGTCCGGCCTTTGGTTTTCTTGTCGTTGCTGCTCACTGTGCTTTTCAAGATCTCGTTCTGGGCAGAGGGGAGGCGAGGGAGAGAAAAGTGGAAAGAGAAATTCAGAGAGGAGACCTGGTCGTCCGCCACCCAAGCGCTCCCCGAGCCTGGGGAGACAGGGAGGAAGGAATATGGGAAGGGGGGCTCAAGTCCCAGCCACGAAGGTTTGCGCTGCCCTCGCTCCTGCCGAGGGCTCCCCACGCCTGCAACTCTCCACTACGGGATCGGCAACTTTATAAACCAACGGCCGCTTTCAAGCTGTTTATGGAGGAGCTGGGGGCCTCTTCTTTGACTCTAGCGGCGTCAACGGGGGCCGGCGCTAAAACAAGTTTTCTCGGTTTTCCACCGCAGTCCCACATCCGAGCAATCCCTCCCCCCTGGCCTGGGCCTCTCTGCCAGCGGCTCTCCGTCTCCGGCTCGGCAGTGCCTCTCCCCCAAAGGCCTCTGAAATCCCTGGTGATTTGGGAGGTCACTGCATTATGTAGCAACCAGAGAAGAAAAACTCGACAAATAAAGCTATTTTCCAGGCCCTTCGGGCAGCAGCGTTGTCCTGACCATCAGCGACCCTATGGGCACTTGGCAGAAAGCTGAGAAAACTTTAAACGGCTCAGTACGACTTCGCGTTACTGTTAACAACAGTAATAATGATCAGAGTAACATTTATTTTTTCGTCTTAAAACGTTCAGGTTCATTAGAAATAGCCATGGATTTTACTCATCTGGGAAACTGCACTCAACCTCACCGCCAAAGAGAAACTGGAGCTGCATTTTGAAGTTCCAAGGATTTGTTTTTGTGTTTACCTTTACTTCTTCCGGGCACAGTTATGAGAACAACTACAAAACCCGCTTAGGGCTCAGAATCAGGGACAGCCTTGTTGTCAGGAGGGGGGAAATGCGATCAATAGGGAAACACTTGGGATCGAGCGTTTCTGGGCGATTTGTTTTAGAAATATCTGAAAGAAAGATCAGATTGGAGGCCGAATGAAGGTTGTAACGAGCACCGAGTGTAGGGCCCCCGCCAGTGCGCTGGAGAGATGGAGGCCTGCCCTAAGCGGCTCGGGGGAACAGCGATAACGCGGAGGCAAGATCACGGGGGCCAAGTATCGCCCTCATCGTCCTCGTCCTCCTTCTCCTCTTCTTGCTGCCAGCCCTCCCTCCACCCCCCCACAGCGCCTCTACATAGGCAGGAAACCATCTCGACAACCCGATGCAAACAACCCTGGCTAGGGACGCGGCCACAGAACGCGGGATGCGAAGGCTCAGCCCAGTTGAAAAGAGGCTGAGGGCACCAGTCCCCCGAACACCCGCCTCCGCGGCCCCCCGCCGGCCCCTGCTACTCACCAGCTCCTTCTTCCTCTTCTCCTCCTTCACGTCTGTCTTCTTGATCTCCGCCTTGAAGGCCTCCGCCTCGCCGTTCTGGTCGTCCTTGGCCAGTAGGTCCATGAGGTAGGCGATGTAGCTGGTGGCCAGGCGCAGCGTCTTGATCTTGGAGAGTTTGGTGTCGGCGGGCACGTTGGGGATGCACTCGCGCAGTTCGGCGAAGGCACTGTTGATGCTCTGAGTCCTGCGCCGCTCCTTGCGGTTGGCGGTGCCCCGGCGCTTCACCGGGCGCGGCCCCCCCAGGCCCGGGGGCCCGGCGCCCGGCTGCACCCCCCCGTAATGGGAGTGGTCCAGGCCGGCGGCGCCGCTGGCATACTCCGGGCTGTAGGACAAGGCCATGCTGTAGTCAGGGGGCGACATCTCGGGGTGGCCGATGAGCCAGCCGTGGAAGTAGGGGTTATCCTCGTGGCTGCAGCGGCTGGCGGCGGCGGCGGCGGCAGCCGCGGCGGCGGCAGCGAAAGGATAGCCCTCATGGTGCACCACCGGGTGGTGGGGGAAGCCCCCCACCAGACTCATCTCGCCCGGCGTGCCCCTCCACGCGCCCCAGCGTGCGCGCAGCCCCGCCGCGCCCTCGGCC